TCCTCTGATAATGCTTCCCGTGCGGATGCAGATGCAGCCGAGGATGACGTCAATGACAATAACAACAATGCCAACGACGGAAGCATCGTATATTCCAATAGCCTTTTAGCAACTGATTGTCTCCCGGATGGGGGTCACGCCAGGTTTGCTAATACGGCAGAGGGGTCATCGAGCAAGTACGGTATCATCACCATGAGGCTTGACAGTCCTGCAAGTAAAAAATACGGTGCTATCGGGCAAAAGTTTGGTGAAGACGGTCATGTTGACGGCAGTGAAGGAAGTGGCGAATGCAGCAATGGGAAACTAAAGAGAATCTACGACAGATACGAATCACCGCCCGACAAAGTTCCAGAGCATGACCCACTATCAAAAAGGAGAAGAACAGCAAAGCGTCTATAACCAAACTCAAAGATTCCGATATTACTGCCGAGTATATCATTGATCATCTTGGAGTGGTCTAGTGGCTCGGAGTGGTTCCATCAAAGATCAGGAGAAATAAAATGCTTCTCTGCTATAAGGTCATGATCATTTTCTTATTATAACATATTGGTTGTTGCAGCATGCCGCCGTGTCAGGGACTCACTTCGCCTTGATGGTCGAAGAGGCAGGTCCTTACATTATGATATGGTTGCAGTATAATATACAGATTTTCCCAGTTGGACTCGTATGGACTTTGAGCCTCTCTTGCTACTGAAGCTATTTTGCTATAAGAGGGTTCGGTAGGCCTTGTGGTTGGCCGTTCTCCAGTACATTTGGCCAGCGGTGGACGAGAAGAGCTTTCGTGTTGACACCATCGTTTTCACGCACTCATGTTTCGCCCTGCATAGCAAGAAGCAATACCATGGCAGGGAGTATGAGCTCCCATGATGTAGCATGCTTACCGAAACCAAGAGCAAAGTTGCCGTTCGGAAGGATCGACGCTGCAAGAGATTAACCGCCATTGCGTTGAGGGGGGTGGTCTGGATCCAGCTGCAAAAGCACGGGACATCAACTGCAGTTGGGAATAAAGACGGATGGACGGCACAACATCCGCGGTGTAGAAGGCTGAGACTGTTGAATTGCACTTCACTGGCCGGGACCAGGTTAGGTTGCATGTATGAGTGATGCTTGCCAGCCTTCGGTTGAACTAACCACACCGAAGAGCACAACCATGCAAAGGACAAGTCACAATTACCATGCTCCCGAGGCTAGCAAACAGTCCCAGGGAGTCAGGCAGCTCGTATTCCCAGGGGGGTAGGGAGCTCGTATTCCCACCGGAGGGCAAAGCTTTGCCCTGTTATTCGTTGCG